ACCACAAGGCCAAACTATAATATATAGATACATATAGATAGATATATCTATATTTATCTATCTATAACTATATTTATTTATATATTTATTTCAGCTCACCGGTCCTAAGATCTGCTGTCTGCATTTGCTTTCTTTTTTTCTAGCCAACAATATTTTCCGTAAGCACAGGAAAAGCTCTTCTGATCCCGATAGAAAGTCAGCGTCTTTGTAACTTCCTGTGCACCGAACTGAAATTTCAACAACCTTCTGAAAACTGCCCCACTACGTAACAATGATGAGAAAGGAGGTGTTCTGTAGTCCTGTCCTAAGGCAGGTGTATTATAGGCAGGACCGCCAGGTAAAAATACATGGATAAAAAACCTGAAGAAAATTAAATGCAGCCACTGCATCTAAGAACTGATGAGCCGCAACATTGTTCCATTGTAGTTCTTGTGTTTAGAGATCTACCAATAATTAAGCAGCACGTGTGTGGCCTTCGGCGGTAGAAATTTGAGTGGATTGTGTTGTTAGGGCTTCTACTATATAGTTTTGGTAGCTCCACAGCAGTGGTTCTCAACGTTTCTAGGGCCGGGACCCCTTGGTAACATTTGCCAAGTTGTGGTGACCCCCAACGGAGCGCTGGACTCCAGAATTAGTAAGGTGCTGGACTTGGGACTAAAAATAGAAGCTCGCAATACAAGCCCGCCCCAGCTACCTGCTCTGTCTCCATGCAGCCTTCTCAGCCCCAGCACTGCTTAGACGCCCGCCTCCTGCAGAGCTCACATTGTATGGGAGGCAGGAGGACAGCAGTGGCTGTGAATAGAAAAGCCTTTCGCTGTATACACTCCCCGGCCACTAGATGTCGCTGCAGCGGCCGGGGAGTGTGTATAGCGGCACTTTTATATTCACAGCCTCTGCTGCCCTCCTGCTGACACTGCTGTGCTAGGAGGAGGCTGAGGAGCCTCTCACCTAGCGCAGCAGAAGTGGATGCTGCGACCCCCCTCGACAGTGAGTTGCGACCCACTTTTGGGTCACGACCCACAGGTTGAGAACCGCTGCTCTACAGGAACTCAATCAGATTGCAAGGCTTATGGCCGGCTTTTAAAGGCGAGTAGTTCACATACAGTATATGTATAATGATTTATAGAAATTAATGTCATCATTATATTATATCTTTTTTATAAATCTGCAAAGCGGTCAGAACTAAAACCTTAAAAAAAATGCCAATACAGATTTCAACCTTTGATAAATGGACCCCATGGACGGGATGAGAAGCGGAGGTGCTGCTCAGTGTACGGGCCAATTCTACCTCATTAGGAAATCTTGATCCTTCCTTTCACTTGGCGTCTTGCTGGTCCAGAAGAACATCCAGAACTCTTGAGCAGAAAGTATGGAGATAAGGGGGGTTCATTCACTAAAGACACATAGGCCATTCACTTTGCAAGGGAATAGCAGGGCAAAGTAGCTTGGTGAAATTTCACTGCGCAAAGTGTCTTTGCGTGCACATGATTGGATGATGGAAGTCAGCAGAACTTCACCTCATTCACTAAACTAATGGAAACTTCCCCTGCAAAGTACAAATTCCCTTGCAAACATCCTATTTGCCAAGAGGTCCGGAGTTAGAGAACTCACAGCACCCGAACATAGATCCCTCTGCTCTTTCAGTAATCGGGAGAACTGTGGGAAGAACAGAGAGATCTTGGTTCAGGTGCCGTGAGCTCCGCTCC